AGCCTCCAGAGATGCTTTAAGGACTGCCCGAATTTCAGGAATTGCTGAGAAGCAGAACTTTAGCGGGAAGTGATTTTTGTTTTGGTGTGTGTGTCCCTCAGTGTGAGACAAAACTCTCAACTTGAGGACAGAGGTTCTGTTTTTGGAACAGGGATTTGGTGCCTGAGACTGGCTGAGAATTTTTAGGAACCCAGTGAGGAATGAGAAATGTCCTGCAAGGGCTGTTTGTTCTGGTTGGATGGTGGGAATGTCTTTGTTCCTGACATTCCCCATTTCCAGGCTCAGAAATGCACTTTTTGGCTCATCAAACATTCACCTCCTGAAAGTTTCATCCCAGGATCTGGGGACACATCTGTGTCTCCAAAACAGAGGGACAGGGACTGGAACCTGTGTACTGCAGAGTGGGATCACAGGATAACCCAGGCTGGAAGGGATTTTGGGAGCTCACTGATTTATGAGATCAGTGCATTGACAGCTGATCTGCTGGTGTTGAAGAGAAAATGTCTGTAATCATCTGCTCCTTTCAAATGTTGAGCTTATATTTTAAAAAAGGGCAGAATTCCAAGTCAGGGTATCAATGAATAATTTCCTCATCTGCTTTAGCAAACTGCAATAAGATTTTTTTTTTTTTTAATATTATATCAGAACCAAAGTAGCTACGCCAGAGATGACATCACAATATTTATGGTCTGTTACTTTCTTTTATTCCTGTTCTTCCTTAAGGATTCTCCTTCTTACCTGAACAGGGATATGCAAACCTGTTTCTGTACTTACTGAGCATGACCTGATGTGTAGAGAGGAAATTTCATCCTAAAGAGGTTGCACTCAGACAACTCTTAATAAAGCAAACTTCCCACAGAATAATCTTCTTAATTTTAGTGGTATCATGAGTGACAAGTTTCCAAGTTACTACTCAGAAAGGGAAGAGGAAGAGAAGGAACGAGCAGGAAACCAAACCCAGTGTATTCTCAAGTAAAATGTCCTAATATGTCTTTATATGAAACAAAGAAATATCAGTAAAATGACCCAGAGATCTGTTTACATCTCATTCTTAAGATATTAATTTCAGAACTTAGGTAATGGTCCTTTTTTTTTTTTTTTTTTTAAATGATTTTTAGGTGTTCTGACCCCTCCAATTTGTAAGTATTTCCCATAAATCCAGTCATCAGTTCAGTGATCTGGGTACGATGGCCCTGGAGTGCAGCTGCATCCTTTGAAATCAAGCAGTAGGACCAAAAAAATCATCTCTTTGCCATGTTCACTTCTGAAGTTCTGCTTCCTAAAAGGGTCTTCTGATGACATTTTTGGCAGCTGAACACGATTTGGGGCAGGAAGGGCCTTGCATTCGGTATCTGCCTGCCAAGTGGTTTCATGCACTGGTTTTCTTACCAGTTGTCTCCGTTTCTTGCTGTTGGATTTAAATTTGGTCATTCGTAGTCGTCAAATTGCTTTTCAAATTGTTCCTAGCCAACAGTCCCCCTTTTTGGGACGTGCCTGTGGCTGTTCCTGGGCTGTTGACAGAGGTCCAGAGGGTGGGACATGAAGGATCCATCAGCAGGACTTGTGTCTCTCCATCCAGTCCTTGGTGGTGTGGAAATTCCAGCCTTCCACACTTGCCCTTTTGCATTAAATAATCCCATTTCTCCTCAAATCCTCGTTAAGGACCTTGTGTTAAAGCGTTTCACACACCAATTAAGACCTACTCAGCATTTGAATTTAATTTACAACAATTAAAACGTGATTTTTGAATGAGAGAGAGGGAAAAGTCATCAAATATGTATTTTATCCCTGTGGGTAATGGTGCACAGACATTCCTGGGTTCTGCTGCTGTAAAAATGTTATTGAGTATGATGAAAGTGAGTAAAATGAGTAAAAAAATGGTGCTAAAAAATGGGAGAGATGGAAAAATATATGGATGTCAGGATTTTGAGAAAAAAGGCAGAATAAGGTGACATCAGGAGGTTTGCACTGGGAGAATTTTAAATGAACAAATGCTGGGTTCATTCAGGTGAAATCCATAAAAGATCATGTAATCATTAAGGTTGGAAAAGAGCTTGAAGATCATGGAGTCCAAGAGGAGAAAAAGAATTTAAAATGAGTGACTACCAAGGCACAGATCAATATTAATTTGTTGCTGATTCTTAAAAGGGTTAAATTCTTAAAGGATTCTTAAAATTCTTAAAAGATGAGTGATAGGTAAGGTATGGAAAAAGGAGAAATTGGTGGCTTTTCCATGAGCTTGGGGATGTAGGTGGTGTTGAAGGACACACCTGTAATGATAAATAACAAACAGGGTCAAATTTGGACTGGAGATGGGTAGGAGAATACTTGGAGAGATGAGGAATTCGACTCCTTCCATATTATGGAAGGTCCAGGTGACAAGGGAAGAGCAAACTGGAGAAGCTAAAGGGGGATTTACAGCAAACATCAGGCAGAAAACGTGGAAAATGTCCTGAAACTCAAGGTGTGGGGAAAGCTTTGCTTTGTGTTTTCTTCCTGTATCTGGAGGATGCTGGGTTAAGTGGGGCACTGGAGTGGTCTGGGCTGGAAATTTCTTTATGGGAAGGAGGAGAAACGAGTTGCATCGAAAGATTTCAAGAGCTCAAATTGGAGGATGATGGATCTTGGGAGCAATTCCAGTGGAGTGGAGCAGCCCTGCAATTAGAGCATTTAAGAGGAGAGAGGGGGAATTAGGAAACTCCACAGGAAACTCCACATTTGAAAAACTGGGAGAATGGAGTCATTTCTGCAAATGAGATCCACTGTCTGTGGAGCAGTTTAGACTGAGAGAGAAAATAAGGCTCTTCATCCTCTTAGCAAGGCTGTTCTTTTCAGGAAAAGCTCGGAAATAGATTTGTTTTTCCTGCCTTATTTTCCCTCAGAGTAATGAAGGAACGGTTGAAATTGCTCATACCTTCGGAATCACATGTGTTTTTTAATATAGCTGAAATACTCTGTTGTCAATACATCAGTTTCTTTTTGAAGGAAAACTAATTAAAAGCTGAGTTTTTAGTAATGACTGCTGGGGCAGTGTGGGCTTTGTGAGGTAATTCCACTGACAGTCATTTCCATGGGATCTTTTCATTCCCACGTTGTTGCTGATGGTCTTCCTGTAAAGGCAAAAATGACACATTAGAATTTTCTGTCAAGTGCACAAAGAAGAGAAATAGAAAAACTAGACATAGGTGTGTTTTTTTCCCCAAGCTGGCCTGTCGTGTTGCTGCTGGGTGCTAATTGAAATGCTGGGGTGTGCAATGTTTTGAGGCAAAAATGGGATTTTAAAGTTAAGGATGTTTCTTCTGGAGTTGAGTGGCTACTGGGATAAACATGGGTGGGTTTGTTACAGTCGGTGGAAACAAGACAAGGGGAATTTTGTGTGGACACTCATTCATCCACCTGTCTGGAGGTCAGATAATTAAGCTGGTTTTTAAAAAGTCAGTAGCTAAAATAACCCGATCACTTATAGAATGTAGCAGAGAGGGTCTTCCTTGGATTTTAGGAATTCTGGGAGGGTGGGGAGTCCCTGGCACAGGTTGCCCAGAGAAGCTGTGGCTGCCCCTGGATCCCTGGAAGTGTCCAAGGCCAGGCTGGACGGGGATTGGAGCAACCTGGGCTAGTGGAAGGTGTCCCTGCCCGTGGCAGGGGGTTGGAATGAGATCCTTAAGATACCTTCCAATCCAAACCATTTCATGAATCTATGATTCTAGAAGTTTCTGAGACTCTATATTGAATAAACTAAGAAAAATTACACACTTAGGGGAAGTTTTTTTTCCCCCGAAGATTCTGTTTAGCTCATTAATGGAACGCATAGATTTTAAAAAGTTGGCATTTTGCCTCGGCAAATAGCTGGAAGATGAAGTTTATTCCTGTAATTTTCCTCACACGAATTCCTGTCATTTACAGTCTCTTGAATGAAGCTCCAAATATAATTTTCTATCCTTAAAGTCTCCCAACACATCAGAAAATTGCCCACCAGAGTTAACTGTTACTGCTGAGCCGTTTCTCCTGTGGGTGCCACAGGAACTTGTGCTTTTGAATTAACAGATGACATCATTGGCACCTATGGCTGTGGGGAGACTAATGGAGATTTTTGGTCTATTTTTATGTAGAGCTGGAGGGTTTTTTTGTCGTTTCTTTTCAATTTTCAGCCGATTTTTAACTATGGTGGCACTGGGAAGAACTGGGAGTTTCCAAGCTGGACTTGAAATAAAAGTTAAAACGTGCATGACTTCCCAGCGTGATCCTAATTCCAGCCACTACATCTCCTGCTCCTGGCACCTTCCCATGATTCTGGGGAGGAGGCAATGCAAACAGATCCTTCTGAGGAGTATTTGGTGCTTATTAAAACCACACACACGCCCTCCTTTCCCGGGAACGTCGGTTTGCTGCAGGTTGTTCGTGTGTCGCACGCGCGGACATTTTTTTAGCGAACAGATCCCTTATCCCTGCGAACGGGGAACGAACAGGGAATGGCTTCCAGGGAGCAAAAAAAAAAAAAAAAAAAAAAATCCACACAAAACCCCTCCTATCCATTGTAAAAGGTAGGGAACCATGAAATCCGTAAGCCAGCTTGGCACGGGAGGCGGCTGTTGGTGCCAAGATTTGGTGCCTGACCCACAGTTTCCCGTTTTTAAAGGTATTAATTGATTCGCCGGGAGCATCCTTTGGAAAAACAAGGATTCAGACAGGCTGGCACAGGCTGGAGCTCCGCCAAGGCTGCTCGGGAAGGTTGCCATGCTGGGAGCGAGCGAGCGAGAGAGCGAGAGAGCGAGCGAGCCGAGGGAAGGGGGGAAAAAAAAAAAGGAAAAAAAAAAAAAGGCAAGACTTGGCACAGCTCAGTCAAATCAGCTCCTTTTGTCTGATTTCTCGGCTTGAGCTTCGGGAAAGAAAACCCGTCCTGGGGTAACAGGGGAAAAAAAAAAAAAACAACAAACAACTCCCAACTTTTTTTTTTTCTTTTTTATAATTTTCCTGGGTTTGCAAACTTCCAGCGCTTTTTTGGGCTCTTGGGAAGTGGTGGGACGTTAAGTGATGTTCGACTTGCCAGTGAGCAGGGAAATAAAAAGCTTCTCGTGGAGGCTCCACAAATGTGAGTTTGGACATTTGGGGAATGTGATATTTTTGGTGGTTGTTTTTTTGTTTGCTTTTTTTTTTTTTTTCATAAATCTGATGAAACTGGGAGGGAGCTGAGAAACTTGGAAGATTTCAGAGGGGAATGCTGAAATAAAAGGGAGGATTTTCTTTTTTTTTTTTTTTTTTTGGCGACAACAAAAAAAGTTTTCGTCGGCGTGAAGGTGCTTTCCAACCAACCCCGAGCGCCTTCGGAATATGCTCGGGACGGGAATTCCGGCGTTTCTCTCCTATAATGCCGCAGAAACCAACTTTTAACGGAACCTCCGTAAAGATTTCATCTGACCCAGCAAGGAAGTGAGAGTAGAGGGAAAGTTGGGACACCTCAATGGAAAAGTGAGTACGTTCTTAAAGCCACAATGTCTGTTTTTGCTGCTTGGTGCTGCCCTGGCTCCGTGTCCCGGTTTTTAGGGACAAGCCTGGAGAGCAGCAGGAGAAGGAGAAGATAGCCAGGTTCTGCCTGAAGGGCAAAACCAGAAACCAGAATGTGGTTATTCTACTGCTCTAAAACATTCCCTCCAGTGCAGCTTCCTAGAAAGCATCTGGAATGGCTGAATTTCCTACTTTTAGAGGCGATAGGAGACGGGAAAATCTTGGCTTCTGCCAAGTGAGGAATGTTTGGAGGTGACAGAGCTGATGGCACTGGATACAGAAACTTCAGTTTGTAGTTCCAGGATCCGTTTGCTGCAAACAGTGAAAAAAAATCTGCTCTTTTCCCATGTGTGGATTTAAAAAAAAAAACCACCCCGTGACGAGTGAACCGTGGACGTCTTGTGGTTCCAGTAAAATTAAGGACCTAAAAAATCCATTGTCTGTTTTTCTCCAAGGATTTTCAGGGAGACAGGCTTGTGATTCCTTAGGAGCAAATATGATCATGCTGCCTATTAGGCCTGGATGTGCTTGGATTATCCTGCTGCTGCTGCTGTGACAATCAGCAGGATTATTCCAGGGGGTAACTGGAAACCGGAGATTTTTTCCGGATCGGCTTCACTTGGAGTAAGTATTATCCCATCCTTAAAGGCTACGCTGCTCTCAGTCTCTGAGATGTGCAATTCCTGACGTGCTGCACATCTCCCTGATTTCCCTGTGCTGAAAGGAAGTAAGAAACAACATTAATGAAAAGCATTTTCAGAGGAACGTGTGTTCGTGTTTTAATTTTGGGCATCGTTGGCATTTTGATCGTTCCACTGCTAAAAAGAACTGTTGTGTTTTTTTTGATCTAAAACACCTTGGGTTGCTTAATGTTAACATTAAATTGGTTTTATAGCAAGCTGTGTGTGATTTTTACTCCGTCAGGGAACCCTTTGAAAGGTGCTGGAGTTAAATAGTGGGTGAGATGCTGCTGTGATTATTATTTGGAGCACTGAAACCTTTTAATACGGCTTGGAAGTGATTTTGGAAGAAAAATTCCCGTTCTTCGAATCCTCCTCTCTTTTTAAATCCTTAAAAAACATCCTCAGCTGCCTTGTGTGAAAATCTGGATTTCCAAGTGAAGGAAGTGTTTGGAGGAGTTGGGTTTTTGCTTTCTGTGCTCTGTTGTTCCTGCCCAGGCATTACCATGGGATGTGCTGGGGGAAAGAGGGATGTGTGGGTTTGCATCAAGGGGAGTAAGGGTGGAATTCTGTCTGTGTGGAATTCTGGAAGGAATTCCCTTGATTTCCCAGGAATTAACGTTCAGTCTCAAAGCATGTGCTGTTTTCTTTAATCACCACATGCCAAAACAAACCTTTAATCTGTGCCCCTATTAAAAGTCAGAAAACAATAGGAAACGTTTCTCGTGGTGCCTTTAAAGGAAATACTAAAATATCCTTTAAATTTCTAAGCGATATATTAAAATAACCGTATTTCTTTCCTGGGAGAAATAATTTTGTTAATTGATTTCATAAATTCAGCTTTTAAACATGATCAACACGTGGGTCCTGGCAATGCATTTATAAATAGAAATATTTGTGCAAATATTTCAACGTTTATCAACACTGGAGTTATATCGAAGTAGTTACCACAATGTCGAAACTACTGTTTATCTCTGAAATTTCTAATCAGAGATTTTGGTTTCCTAAATGAAATTACACACCACTGCACATTTCTTTTGGCCTACGTAATAAAGTATTTTTTCTTTCTGCTAAAACTTTCGCTTTTAAAAGTTCATGGAAGTGCTTATTTTTTGGAAAAGATCCCAGTTTGGCAAGCTAAAAATCAAGATTTGAATCACATATTTTAAATGGTTGGACCCCCAACATTAATTGATTGCATGCAAGTGAAATTTGGCAGTGGAATTTGACATGGTTTATTGTATATATAAAATAATCAGCTATGGAATAATTGGGAGTTTTCTGGATACTTTAATCCAGATTATTCATTACCATCATTCATTTACGATCCTTAATTATTGGGTAGGTTTAATAACTTCGTAAATGAACAATTTGTGTTTAATTCTTAATGAATCATTAATATCTATTTCCTATTGGATTGTGGCAGATTTGAGGGTTAGTGGTGAGGGGGTTAACTTTGATTTTTCTTGTTAAACCACCGACCCATGATATTATTTAATACCAGAACGTCGTGTTTGAACCCGTAATGGGCCTGTGTCTGATTTCACTTGTATGGACTAATCATAAACCAAGCCTTACCCTTCTGGTTTTACCAGTCTTAAAGCAGTTTGAGATCAAAATGGGACTAGAATGGCTTAGTTTGTGCCTTTTATATTGATAGATATAAACCATTTTGTGAACTTCCTGTGAACCCACAGTAAGTTCTTACCATGGGTTACGGTGAACCCACGTGGTTGTTGGACAAGGAAGAGATGAAAGTTCTCCGTGTCACCATGGATTCTTCCTAAATATGGCTGTAGGGTAATAATAGGAATGTTTGAATACAGTGTATGCAGAGTTTGCATGTTGTTTTTCCTTCCTGTAGGAATATTATCTTCCTATATGGAAGATTATCTTGATATTCTACCTTCATATGGTAGAACCCCACATCCTGCCACTGCTGAGTGTCCTCAGCTTCTATAACCAGTATTTTAAAAAAACCCTACCTATATTTTAAGGCTCTTTCCATTTCCCATTTCCCATTACTCCAGAATAATTTCCTGTTTTATTGCCCACTTCATCCCAAGATGTTTTCTCTCTGTGTAGCAACTTTTCTGCCGCTGGTGTCATCATTTTCATTATTCCATTCAATTGTAGTGTGTTTTCCTTCAGGTCTTGCCCCACTGCACAGCAAGGTACATAAAACTTACTATTTTCTTAATAAAACTTAGTGTTTTTTCCTAATATTTTATCTGGAAGTCCACCCTTGACCAAGGTGGTCTGAGAAAATTCAGGAAGAAGGTTGTAGCATTCCCGCGTTTCTTGTCATCTGTACCTTACCATAATTTAGTAAAGGCCACGGTTTTTATTTGTGCAACAGAAATTTTGGGCAAAATTGATATTATTTTGGCCACTGTAACTGTTAAAACAACATATCAGTGACTTGAGTAACTTTCATAATCGTGGTGGAGGAATAAACACCTTTTACAAAGTGAATTAGGTGGCTGTCATATCAGTCCTGTGAATCACTCTATTGACCACACAAAAACTTGGAAAATAGAATATAAAATTATGAAAATATTAATTTCAAAAATTTTTAAGTTGCATTGTCTGCTGTATTCTCATTTGTGATGAAGAATAGCTCACAGTTGTTGAGGCTCTGACTGATTCTGATAATCTTGTGTGAATTGTAGAAATGATAGAAGCTTCTCCTCTTGATAATTATGAACATCCATCCCTATTTTTCCAGTTGTTTTCCTGTAATTAAGTTACATCCAGTGTACATCTGTTTCTCTGAGTCATATTTGGTGAATGCCATGGAATTTAAGCTGTTTTAAGGGATAAATTATTGGTTGTACAAGAAATCCCCACTATTGTCCCTTCTTTACATTTATTGAATCCCCTATTTTTTGATAAGTTTACCAAGATCAAGCAGAGTCTTGGTGTCATCTTTTCTCCTAAATTCTTTTTCCTGCTGACCTTTCAGCCTTTGTACAACTCTTGGTTTGGCTGAAGTTGCAACCTCTGTACTATCAAATGTTGGGGTTTTAGAACAGGAAATACAAAGGGGTTGCAAAACTTTGACTGTTTGCCCTGTGTGCTCTTAACAAGTTGGTCATGAAGCTGATTAATAAGAGAGAAATTAGAGAATAATCCCATGGGCAGGGACACCTTCCACCATCCCAGGTTGCTCCAAGCCCCTTCCAACCTGGCCTTGGACACTTCCAGGGATGGGGCAGCCACAGCTGTTGTTCCATGACCTGTTTCAGACACCTCCAGTTCCACAGCTTAGGAATTAGATCCCAAGAAGAGGCTCTCTGATGTGGACACAACACATTTTGCTGACTTCAAAAAGAAAGTGGAAGGTCTGAAGAAAGGTTTGGTTTGAGTTCACTAAACTGCAGTGAGAAGATCTAGAGCTGCCCTGCAGGTCCTTAAGGAAGTTGTGAGTAAACTCTGGGTTTACCTCACAGAAACTGTCTGGGATTGTGTTGTCCTTCTGTGGGACAGAGCAGGCCCATCACAAACAGTTCAATAAGCAAAGTTCCTGCCAGTTCCCCGACTTCTTGAAATATTTCAGGATGTAGTTCTTGATGAAGAGCATTGAGGGTGGCTTGGAGTATCTGAGAGTGGATGGGATTTATATTTAGCCAGCAGATTATCTCTGTTCCACCCTGTTGTCTCCACATTAGGATCCAGAATTTGGTATTTCTGCTGTGATAGGAGATCTAGAGACGTGTACGTGATGCTTTTCTGGACTGGTGTGAAAGATGGGGAGTCCAGACTAGCCAGGTGTCACTGGGTGTCAATATATTTAATATGATTCTGATTTAATATTCCATCTAAATTAATAGTAGGAGAATAAGAGAAGCAGCATGAAATCTTTGGTCTGCTAGATTGGATCAAACTGTAATATTCCTTTAACTGTCTTCTTAGATTATGCACTTAAGCTTTTTTCCTGGCACATAGAAAGGTTCTAGTCCCAGTTTCCCAACTGCAAACGTTGGGATTCAGCACTATATGCTATTTGTATTGGTTTTGCAATTTCCATTTTCCATCAGCACTGCCCCAAATAGCATAAGAGCAGACACAGTTTCAGAGAGCTTTGTTGTGTGAATTCTGCTGTGTGGACTTTGTTTTGGGGGTCCCACAGATGGGAAAACAGGAAGAAGGTCTAGTTTGCTTGTTAATCTAACGCACAGCAAGGAAAAAACAAAGAAGTCTCTGGGCTATGTATTTCTACACAGTAAGGGATATGTATTTCACTTTTTTGTCTTCCACACACAGTGATTTTTAATATAAAATTCCATCCCAGGTTAAAGCACCTGCAGAGACTGAGGGGAGAACACACTGAGAGAAAAGGTGTAGGTGCAGGGAAAGCATATTCAGAAAAACCTTCTGGTTTTTCAACTATATTGATAGAAATAGTTAGAATTGATCATTATAGGATGGAAGGTTTCTCAGTATCCACTGATAAAATCTGCTCCAAGAACTTTATGGCCGAATTGCAGCTTTGTTTTAGGTAGTTCTCCCATTTTTAATAACAGCCTGGGGTTTGCCCCTGAGTTGCTGTTGTAATCTGCTCCTGCTTGGGGAGTGTTGCACTCTTCTGTCCACAGCTATGGGTTGTTTGTTCATTGTCCATTGACCTCCTGTTCTCCTGAGGTGGGAAAGCAGGAAGGACTTCAAAGAAGAGAGAGAGGCCTTCCTATCTGCTAATAATTGTTTAAGGCTTGCTGCTTTTATTGACATTGTGGAATCATAGAGTGAAGGAATGATTTGGGTTGGAAGGGACATGAAAGATCATCCAGTTCCACCCCCTGCCATGGGCAGGGACACCTTCCACTAGCCCAGGTTGCTCCAAGCCCTGTCCAACCTGGCCTTGGACACTTCCAGGGATCCAGGGGCAGCCACAGCTTCTCTGGGCAACCTGTGCCAGGGCCTCCCCACCCTCCCAGCCAAGGA